GGCAAATAAATATTGGGAGACAACTGGCAGACTCTATCACATATTGTAACTGTAAATTTATGCTGCCATTACCCAATCTTAAAACGAAGGGCTCCCTTATGAAACAGTTTGAGACATTGCTAGAGGATAACACACACAGATACAGCTTTCTTTCAAGAAATAAAAATGTATATATATTTTTTGGGGGGGAGAGATTTTCGCTATAGGGCGCGTGCGCTCGCCAGACAGACAGAGAGAGACATAGAGACAGAAAGCGAGAAATCACCCCCCAGGGGGGATGGTCACGCCGCAATCCCTTCTCCTCCATTCTCCTCTCGGGATCTTGGGCACGCATGCACACGCACCCGGCATGAGTTTTAAGCCACCGGGTCCGGGACATGAACCGCGGTCGACTACGTGGGAGTCCAGCAACATAGCCATTATGCTAACTGCTGGTTCCCAAATGTATATTTTTTTATAAGATGTTAAAAGGGAAAGAAGGCATACTTTCCCAGGGCCTATCATTGCCAGTCATTATGCTTTTGCATTTGTCATTCCATTGACTGTCCACCTCCAAGTATGGTGGGAAGTCTAACTTAACCTTCTGTGATGGGTAGGATGTGATATATTTGATACAGCGAAAGGAAACCTCACTGGTTACTCATTAGGAGGAAGAAGAATCCCACAGGGTCCCTGTGCTTATTCAGGCTACTGTAACAGAATACTATAGCCAGGGTGGCTTAAACACCAAAAGTGGACTGCTTCTAGGCTTGGAGACTGGAAGTCCAAAATCACGGCACTAGCAGATCTAGTATCTGGGGAGGGCTCTCCTCCTGGTTTTCAGATGGCTGCCTTCTTACTGAATTCTTGTATGTCGGAAAAAGAAGGACAGAGAGCAAGGAAGCAAGCTCTCTCGTGTCTCTTCTAAGGGCGCTAATCCCATTCATAAGGGCTCCACCCTCATGACCTAAGGATTTCCCAAAGGCCCCGTCTCTAATGCCATCACATTGAGGGCAAAGATTTCAATGCACAAATTTGAGGGGTGGGGGTAGAAGACACAAACATTCAGTCCACAAGTTTCTATAGGTCAAAGCAAAGAATACGAGCATGCCTAACTCCAAGAAGTAAGCAAGTGCCCAGACTAGAACTGGATACGTTGGTGATGAATGAATAGAGGTTCCTTAAAAAGAGGTTCCTTGCAGCCAGAAGCAGTATCTTCCTAGTCTGATATCTAGCATCTGGTCCATTTCCCCACACATCCAAAGATCTCGGGAAATACTGAATTGTTTCCTGAACGAAGTTTTAAATTCCCACCAAATCACTCATGTGAAATTTCATCATCTTTCTAGAGGCACTTCTCCCCCACCCCCACCCCCCAAAATATTAGGTTATGCAGCATTTATTCCTAGAATTCATCCAGGTAGTGAAAAAAACAACTGGCTGAAAATGAGAGTCTGCCCAATTCCATGATCCACTGCTATCCCGGGGAAGGACTTTCTCAGACATGGAAGTGCCAGCCCTCTAGTGGAGGAAACACTTATTTTTTGTGCTGCAGTACAATTTGATGTGTCAAAATTCCATCTAATCTGGCTTTTACAAGGCAGTAATAACAAATGTTGTTATGGGAATTACATTTTTCAGATGATTAGGTTATATAGCAGACTAATCACTTTTGCTTTTATGAAGAATAAAGTGCACCATACTGCTGGCGTTGTTATTAGAGATTGTCAACTAAATAATTTAAGCTGGGTTGTTTACGTAAGCCCCTAATTACTGCTGGGATTTGTACAGTGAGGTAGAGTTAATGGTCTTTTCTGTCATATCTCTTCTGTAATGTGATGACTTTTGTGAGCTTCCTACTTCTAATTGCATAAAACTACTAAAGCACTCTGTTAAGGAAAAGTGGATAACGAAATAATGACGAGTCAAAACCCACCTAATTAAGACCTGAGTGCCAGAGCTGAGCCCTGAGCTGCTTAGGGGCACATGTCGAATCATGACTGGATGTCTCAAAAACAAACCGTGCATTAATATGCCAGGAGAAATGGCCAGTATCATCCAGCCAATCATCTCCATGAGTACATTCCTGAGCCTCTAGTGTCACGATGTCAACATCTTCAGCAATGGGATGCCGGGACTCAATCATTTCATTTCCCACATTTGGAAATAAATCTTATTTATATTCTTATACCGCCTCTCAATTCCCTGGCTCATTTCTGGACCCATAGTCACTTTAAGTTTTTTTTTTTTTAAATGTGGCCCTTGCACTATGGCAGACAGTTCATCTTTCTTATGATTTCATGTGTTTTCTCATGTGGACTCTGCCCCAAGGAGGTAGAGCTGAAGCATGATGGTCTGAGGCACAGGATTCAGGACTAACTAGTCAATCAGATAAGAGGTCCAGGAGCAGACGAAGGGCGAGGCCAGACAGTGTCACTGCAGAAAGGAGGGGCAGAACTTAGCTGCAGGATTGAGGAGGGGGAGAAGAAAGGATCACTTTTCTATCTACTGAGGAGACTCCAAAGGGCTCAGCATGGCTGAGAGTGAAGCAAGGTGGCCAAGAAGCATGGCCTTTATATCAGGTCTGAAAACTGAAAAGGAGGGACTGAAAGATCTGTAAGGAGCTATTAAATCTGTTCTATTTTTTTTTTCTGTCTATAATTTCCTTAACTATGATACATTTTGCAACCTAAAATCCCATTGTATCTTACTAGAAGATAATACAGACATCTTTGATAGTTGGGTAATTTCTGCACTGCCACCAACCATAATTTGTGTGTGTGTTACTATTTTTGGTTTTTCACATCCTCCAAAATTGCTCAATATCTTTTTATTTTTTAAAGATTTAATTTTATTCATATATTTTTTCAATTTGCTATAGGACATGTATGCTCACGAGAGAGATAAAGAAAGAGAGAGAAAATGAGAAAACAAGTTGGGACTCAAACCCCAGTCGGCCATGTAGGCATCCAGCACCTTAACCATCATGCCACCTGCTGGCCCCAATATCTATCCTTTTTAAACTTAATAAAAACTCTGCATGGATTCTTTCTTTTGAAAAAGCGGAGTCTACTAACAGCCCTTTGGCAAAGTGATTGAGGACTACATGGAAGAAGCCAGATCCCACATGGGATCCAGACCAGATCCAGCATGAGTCTCACCCTCAGCAGCTTGAAAAATACACCAGGTGCATGTGCAGACATGCTCAAAAAATTCTTTTTAAGGATTATCTTAGTTAACTTTATTAATTTATTTTTATTTAGACCAGAGAGGGATAGAGCAAGAGTGAGAGCGAGGGAGAGAGAGAGAGGGAAAGTGAGAAAGCAAGCCGCTAGGTCCGGGACTCAAATCACAGCCAACAATGTTGGAGTCCAGTGCCCTTAATCACCATGCCATCTGCGAGGTCCTATTTAACTTTATCATTATTACCATTTTTTTATTTGACCAAAGACAGATAAAGAGAGGAAAAGGTAAAGAGAGAAAGCAAACTGCCAGGTCCAGGACTTGAACCGTGGTTGGCCATGTGGAAGTCCAGCCACCATGTCATTTGCCAGCCCCATGCTCAAAATTTTGACAGCAGGGAGAAATGAAGGAGAAGGTATTGTGGTGTGACCATTCGCCCTAAGGGGTGCTTTCTGTCTCTGTCTCTCTAACTCTGGCTAGTGCACATGGCCTCTGGCACTAAGGAAGGAAAAAGAAAGGAAGGAAAGAAGGAGAGAAGAAAAAAAGGAAGGAAGGAATAAGAAAGGAAAATAAATGAAAGGGAAGGGAAGGGAAGAAAAAGAAAAAGAGATAGAGACAGAGACAGAGATAGAGACAGAGAAAGAGACAGAGACAGAGAAAGAGAAAAGGAAAGAGAAAGAGAAAGAAAAAGAAAAGGAAGAAGAGAGAGGACTGGCTTATAACACACCAAGTCTAATATACCAGGCATCTCTGGGTAGAAACATTGTATGAATACAGAAAACTTTAACTCAAAGCTTTAACTCAAACTAGAACAGATTTGGGAATCACATGGCAGGTGGCAATTAATAAGAAAATGGGATGGCTACTTCTAGAGTATTGAAAGAAAACCAAACACTGAACCCAAGTGAATATGTACTTTTTTTAGTGGGACAAAAGAACAGGGGGACCAGCAGTTAGCATAATGGCTATGTCACTGGACTCCCACGTAGTCGACTGTGGTTCACATCCCGGACCCGATGGCTTAAAACTCATGCTGGGCGTGTGTGCATGCGTGCCCAAGATCCCAGGAGGAGAATGGAGGAGGAGGGATTGAGGC